GGGTTTAAGTGCTGTTTCCTAGTTGGTTTTGCAGTTTTTCTGTGTTTTGCTTCTTAACAGTTTTTGGTCGAGGGATCTGCAAGAGAGAGTTGTTCATTTGCTTTCAATATCTTATTTAATTTTTTAATATAAGTTATATAAATTTATAGAACTAAAAAAAACTGAAACTTACTTGAAAAGATCTAAGTAAAAAGATAATATAGATTTTTAATAGTATTATTGTAAAGACTAAACTAAAAAAACATAAAGAAATTAGATGAGCAAAAATCTTTAAATAAAAGATATTACTAATTAGACTACTGATTTAAACTAAAAAAAAAGATATTAGGTCAAACTTAATATATCAGAAACAGGTTATAGTTTTTCTAAGCTATTTGAATTAGAAGTCTAAAAACAAAGTAAAGATATACTAAAGTACTAAAAATATATTATAAACTAGATACTAGGATACAAATAAACTTTGCAAGAGCATAGCTTTGTTAAAGTTTTAGAATAGGTAGATAACTTAATAAAGAAGCTTCTGTGTTTTACTGTTAAGTAATAAGCATTACTATAGTTAAAATAATAGTACAAAAAAAGATAATATTAAACCTGAATAGTTCTTAATAAAAGATAGCAACAGAATTAATTAAAATAGTTAGAGATAAGAATAGTGATTCTAGTATAGTGATTGGGTTGTCATTCTCCAAGTGGCAGGTCTAAGGTTCAAATCCCACCTATAACAAATTTAAAAATTATACTTGTATTATAATAACTGTCTCCTATTGATCGGTTGGCCTTATGCAGCTATAACCTAGATACACCAAGTCAGATCCTACTAACATTGGGAGCTTGAGGCATCTATGCAAAGTGTAATATTACATGTATATAGAGGAATGTATAACTGGTGTTGCATAAGACTTCAGTGCAAACTTATGATAAGACTACTGGGCATAGAAGACTAAGGAACTAAGGTGATAGAAACCTACTTAGAAATTCTTGAGTAAAAAGATAGTATGAACTTTCGATGATACTATCAGACCAGTTGAAACCCATAAAACACCTTCATAGGAACTGAAGATTAAAACCAGACAGCAAATATGTATAGAGAAGCATATAACCAATTAGGCCACTAGGTTTATTAGAGAAAAAGAATACAGAAGTATATTATACTAGGCCATCTGAATTGGTAGTCTGGAATGAGACTGATGATTCTGAGTTGTGACTAGTAGAAAATGATAGAGAAAATGTCAAGAAGATGGGTACTAAGGTTCTAGTGAATTTTACAAGAATAGAAATAGTGTAATGTAGTAGTTAAACAGATAACTTCTGTAACTGCAAGTGTTAGGTAACTATAATATGTTACATAAAACTAGGTCTATATATATGAGACATAAAGGCTTTAGTAAGTTTTCTGTCAAGGATAAAGTAATCCTAAGGGTAATGATTAGCATCGAGAACTTGGATGGGCAGTGCCTTAAGATGTTCTCATGATACAAGAAGAACTGCATATGCAGAAAATTTAAATAGACAAGACCTCTAGTTGGCTTGCAAGTATGGCAACTAGTGTAAAACTTATATAGTAATATGTAAGCGGACTACTTAAATTAGGTACCAAAAGTGTATATGTGGCTAGTTGTAACTTTCAATATAAAGTGAGCCCCTAGTGGCATGCTGTGTCCTAATATAATTGAATAAAAATGTCATATTTTCAAGGCAGGAACTTTAACTATAAAAAAAAAAAAAAAAAAAAATAGTTGAAGCTATATTAAAAGAAAAAGTTATTCAACATCAAATTAGTGGCAGTAGTCTTAAAACATATATAGAAACAAGATGGACAACCATATATGAATGTGGCTCCTCAATTGTGTAATTTAAGATTTGCTTAGAGAAAATTCAAGAAAATCATTCTGAAATTATTAGTCCTGTTGTTTTAACAATACTTCGTAGTCGAGGCTTTTTTACTGATTTGCAATATCTTTCAGATGTTTTATTTCCAATCAAAGAGGCAATTTTGGCAGTTGAGGCAAATCGTTCTACCTTTGCTGACTGTTATATTAATTTAGTAAAAATTGCTGTGACAATTCAAAATCTTCCTATTGACGAATATAAAGGATTTCGCAATAAATGTGTTAAAAAATTTAATAAACGGTTTGAAGAATTTAATGATCCTATTTATCAACTTATATATTTTCTTCATCTAGCATATAAAGGTCTTGGATTAAAGTTTGGTACATTTCCTTTTATTGCAAATTATGCTGAAAAATTATGGCAACAAATAGGTAAATCAAAAGAAAGTTGTGAAACTTTAATAACACAATTATGAATTTACAAAGAGCAAAAAGAAAATATAAATGAAAATCTAAATTCTTATACTGCCCCCTATACAATTAGTAAGGATACATCATTAATGTGGTGGAATACGTGTGAAGCTAAGCCTAACAATTTACAATGCTTGGCAATTAAACTTTTTTCTATTACACCAAGTTTAGCTCTTTGTGAACAGATGTTTTCAGCATTAGGATGGATTTATGGAAAGCATCGAACTAGATTAAATATAGATCGGTTAGAAGATTAGCAAAAATTTATCAGTTTAATTTATCAAACCCTATAGAACAACTTTGTCATACTCAAACTGCAGAAATAATTTCTGAAATAATAACAAATATTGCCAAAACTGTTTTTAAAGAGTTTGAAGAAGAAATATTAATAGAAGAAGATGATATTAAAATGCTTAATCCTGCTGAAAACCTTTATCCAAATGAACAAGATTTAGACTTAAGCATTTCAACTTCTATTGATTTTAAATCTTCAGTTTTTACATTCTCTAATAGTTATAAAAGTGAGAATTTTAATGAAATCGAATTTGATAATAATATACAAGAAAGTGAATATAATGTTGATGAAATTGTTGCTGCAGAATTAAATTACAGTTTACATTAAATACAAATACAAAAAAAAAAAGAGAATTAGGTAATATAATAGTTCTCTTATGAATTCAAATACAGTATATCAATTCGTGAATTATAGTGATAGTTAAAACCTCTCTTCAATCTTGTAAAAAAAAAAACTTATTTTACCTCTCACTCTAAATTAATGTATATATTTTTTTATCTTACTTTGCTTTACTATTATGTTATATGAAATATTCATATTATAAAGATACAAATTATGAGAATCTTACAATATATACTTATTTATCATTTAAGATCAATATTACAATTTATAGTTATATACATATCAGGTACTATGCACATATATAATTACTATATAATTGAACAAAAAAATTTATTCATGAAGATGTATACATGAACATGCCAATATTTTAAAGGCTTTATTTATTTAGATAACCCTCTGATTTATTAAAATTATTTATCATTATAATTACTTATGTTACTATTGGATTCTATTGTGCCACAATTTTTAATAAAAAAAGAATACTTAAAGAGTACATTAAGAAGACTTTGGCAAATCTAATCTTATTTGTACATGTTTATATGTTCAAGAGATATCAAGTTTGAATTTTTTTTAAAAAAAACCTGGCCAACAACTTACTACGTATATTTATAATTAGACCAATACTTACGTATTAGTCATTATGACACCTATTATGACCATTATATTCATTATAACTGTTGTATTCATTACATCCATTACACCCATTACAACTATTACACCCATTACAACTATTACACCCATTACAGCTATTACAGCTATTACGACAATTACAGCTGTTACAACTATTACACCTGTTACAACTATTACAACTATTATAACAATTACAGCTATTATGATTATTACACTCTTTACAGCAAAAAATTACAACTTTAAGTCAAAGGGTTGCAACTTTACAACTCTATCAAATCTATTATGGCAGGCAACTTTACTAACGATGCCTATCATAAATTTATGATAATAGTCAATACATATCAACTTTCAAATTCGACTGATGATGCTTTTATAAAGTTTTTCAACAAATTCTCTAATTTGAATATTTCACCACTTCCATCATCAACAAAAGCCAGAAAGAAATTTCTTGAAGATTCTTCTATTACATATATGATGTTTAAAGAAGTTTCTATTACTGAGTTTCAAAACATTGAATATACATTCTACTATCGACCATTAATTAAAACTATAAAGTCTTTATTAATGGTCAATAGTATCAACCAGTCACTGGTTCTTCAATATGAAGACAAAAAAGAAGTGAATAATAATGTAGAATACTGAATATTTGGAGAACAATACAATGGTAATTGGTGGAAACAAGAAGAATCGATATTACTTGTTAGGCAACATTTGCTATTGCTTATTCTTTATTTAGATGCAACAACTTTGGACCATATAGGAAAATCTTTTGCATACCCTATATTTTTATCACTTGGCAACATTTCTAACCATCAAAAAAATAAGCCAGAATCCAAGGCATTAATTGAATACCTCCCAATCTTGAAAACCAAAGATGATAAAACTAAAAATTCAGAGTTTTTCTGAAAATCACAAAGAGAAACCTTCCAGAGGTGTATGTTGATTCTTCTCAAATTCATAATTAAAGAACCAGAGCTTCACTTCGTTATATGTAGCAATATAATTACTTTTATTTTATGAATATCAATGATTATTTCAGATATGCTTGAAGCCAATAAGTTTGCAAATGTTTATCAACCATCTTCCTCAAGATGGCCATGTGGAAAGTGCCTAGTATTAAATGACAACTTGAATGATATTAATTTAACAGGCATAATTCCAAGAACTTCAGATGCAATGAAACAAGCAATAACTAGTGGTAATGAGCAGTATTATTTGATTTATTCTGAAAATAATGCATTTTGAGACTTAAGATATAAAATTTTAGATTATTATTTTATTATATCATATTATATCATATTGTTTCGAAATAACATTCAGGTGTCATTTCGAAACAATACAGTAATAATAAAAATATATTATAAATTATAAAAAAATTTAGGGGCTTCAATATATATAAAGCCATCATACCTGATCGAATGCATGCTTTGGATCTCGGCCTCTTTAAGCATATGCTAAATTTTACGAAAGAGCTTTTATCTGACCAATGTGGGAGCCAGGTGCTTCAAACCTTTGAACAGTGATTAACTTTAATTCCTTAATATCATGGTCTTAAAATAATGAATAACATATTAGACATGACACACATGATAGCTGATAAATTATGAAATTTAATGAAAGTAATAATTTTTGCTCTTGATAACCTATATGAGGATTATAGGAGACTGGAAATTAGTAATAAACAGTTATGCCAAGTTTATTACAAATTCTTTCAAATATATATGGCTACTCATGAAGAATTATTTACTTATAATTCTTGTAATTAGCTTCAGATACAGAACAAGTTGTTATTTTTTGTAAACCTTTGATTACTAATAATTAAATTCATAGATCCTTATTATAGATTAGGCCAAGGAATTTATTAAAATATTTTCAAAATATTCTAGTCTTCAATTTCCTAAGCTTCATGCTTGGTGCTATCATATAGTACCTGTGATTCAAGAATATAGATCTATAAATAGTATGACCACGGAAACTTATGAGACTCTTCATAAGAGTTATGTAAAAGGACCTTATCGCATGTCAAATAAAAAAGGTTATATGAAACAAATATTAAGGACAGTAAGTAATATATAGTAATATATAGTAAATAATCGTTATCTATTATTATCTATCATTAAATAATGGTTAAAAAAAAATTATATTTTAATTAAATAATATCTTGTAATATATAGCACAAGTCATAATTTAATCGTTTGATAATGTATTATCTAGCAATTAAGTTATGACTTGTGCTATATATTACAAGATATTATTTAGTTAAAATGTAATTTTTTTTTAACCAATGAATAAATATTATTAGGTTATACAGCAAAAATTAACTGAAAAAGAAGCACAAAAGAAATATCGCCAAACGAAAGGGTTTGGAAAACTTTTGTGAACATTAAGTTTAGAGAATCTGAATAATTTTCTTAAAAAAGATAAAAATAATCTTGATCCACTACAAGTTGAAGGCTTTCAAAATCTATTATCTGCTCTCGATGAATTTTTTGAAGAGGATCCAATTTCAACTCTTAACAATTTTAATCAGATAGAAATATTTTCCTCAGCTTTATTAGAAAGTACTGATATTATTCGTACTACATCAAGTTTTTACAGTAAACTTATATTTTCTAATATTATCATAAGCAGTTATGAAAATAAAGAAGAAATAAATTAGTATAGCTTGGTATATATTTGACATCTATCTAATGATAAAAAAGGGTTAATATCGATAAGCAAAATAACTCTTGAAGTTAGACAATTTTTTTATTTTCATCCAATGTTGAGAGTAAATTATAACTAACATAAATATTATCATAAAGGTTATTCTGATACTCAAATTTTATCAGGCAAATGAAGAACCACTATAATTCATCTTAGTTCGCTGATATAAGGAAATTGGTAAATTATAGGGCTTTCCTAAATTGAGGCTACTTGTGCACTACAGTTGTATGCCATTAGATAGTGTAGATAGAACAGTGCATATAGTCCTGAGATTTAATAAAACAAATGAATATTTAATGAACTGTTTCATGTTCTAATGCTAAATTAAATTTAAAAGTACTTATTTTAAGTATACATTACATGTTAATATTTAAGATATTCACTTTAAAGTATCAGTATATCTATGTTTGTTTATCAATATATTAAGTATGTGTTATGTATTGATTGGTAACAATAAATTGATTATTATCGATTTAAATAGATTCGATAGTAATCGATTTACATTTAAATTTCGATATATATCAGTTTATCGATATGTATCGATTTTGATATATATCAATATATAACTACCCTGCTAATATATATTGTTATATTCTAATTGATTAATATCGATTATTTGATATATATCAATTAGTATCTATTTAAAAAATTTCCTGATGATAATAAATAAAAAAGAGCTATGACAAAATACAAGTTTGGAAAAGGAAAAAAGACAAAAAAAGAAGAAAAAGCAAAGAAGCCACAGATACAAAAATAACAAGCATGATAATTGAAGAAGCAAAAACAGATAAATATATAGAAGAAGAAATAAGAATACTAAAGACAGAGTTAATGCAAAAAAACTATAAAAACATTATTATGGCAATTAGAAACTAAGAAAAAAGTAAAAGAAATGAAAAAAAGAAAATCCATAAAACTAAATGATATGAAAACAGAAATAATACTATAGAAGAACTACTAGAATAAAGCATCTGATCACTCTTGAGCAGAGATTGCAGCAATAAAAGAATGTATATAGCAAAAATACCAGCATACAATATACCAAATAGTTTACAAAAAGAAAGAACAAAATTTATTAAAAGATTACTAGTATCTAACAAACATGTTAAAGAGGTCAAAGAAATATTTAAAAAAGGTAATGCTTGGATTATTGTCATATTTGACTGCAAATATAACAGAGAAGAAGCAATTAGCAAAATAAAAAAAAAACACAATAATTGGTTTAAAATGATTCCAAACATAGATGAACTAAAAGAAGAAGGGATTAAAAAAAGCAAAAAGTTAAAGCAGAAAGATAAACTGATAAAGAAAAAGAAAAATAAAAAAGAAACTAAGAAAACAGAAGACAATTCATTCAATTAAGAAAAAGGAGATACAGACAAAAAGAATAAAGAAAACACAGTAGTATTAACAGTATAGGACCTGCCAAAGAAGATGACAGAGTATGAAATCAAGTATCTAGTAAGAAAAATAAGTAAAGTAGTAGGATGCAAAATCTGAAAAAGCACATTCAGAACAATAGTAATGATAAAAGTAAAAAGAGAAGAAGGACAAGCATTCTATAGGTAATTTCTTTAAGAAATAGAAAGTTAGCAAAAATAATATTAGGTAAAGAAAAAGAGGAGAAGAAAGAAGAAAAAAACCAATTC